TTCATTTTTAAAAATTGTATTGCTATCGTTTAATTCTGTACCTTTGTTTCCTACTCAGCTCCTGAAATTGTTTAACTTTTCCGTTTATTCCCTATTTAACTTTCGAAATTCTATTGCTTATGTTTAAAAAAATATTTCTATACCTTCCTACCAAAGAATATTTTTATTTAAATATTGCCAATGCTCTTTGTAATTATTATTTGATATTTTGAAATCAAATATTTTTTATTAATTAATTAATATTGTTTTTGAAAAAATTGGTAGGTAACTATTTTTATGGTTGTATTGGTCCAATAGATATCATGATTATTTTGTATTATTTCTAAAACTGATTACAATCTATAGAATTTTAGGTGTACCTAATACCAGTAATAATATTGTGATATTTGTAATACTCCGTTAATGTTGACAGNACTGATTACAATCTATAGAATTTTAGGTGTACCTAATACCGGTAACAATATTGTGATATTTGTAATACTCCGTTAATGTTGACAGGATTTTTCTGAAAATTTAAATGGACGTAAAACATAATACAAGGATTATTTTTGATCCGTAAGAGCAAAACGCTAGTATGAAGTGTTAGAGAAATAAAAACGGATAAAAAAGTTCTAATCGAAAATGAGATCTAGAAAGTGACTTTTATCAACTTAATGTAAGCAACACCCATATGTTGATTTTAGTCGAAAATTACATGAAAATGTTTGTCCAAATTAAATATGCCGTTTCTCCGAATCGGTGCCTGAATCCTCTAAAATATTTCGGGAGCTTAAAGGGAGCCCTAACCATGTACGGGGTTCAATGTGTCCCGGAACACCTCGGCATATCGGTTTGAAAATGGTGCTATGTTAAAACGCATATGTTAATCGGGGTCCAAAGTTGACCATTTCCTGTGGGTTCCTTCACCGTGCGTTACTACCTACCGTTTACCACCGAATGTTTAGCGATGTTCCGGCTGGAAAAACTCTTAACGGAGTACACTGTCTAAAAGTAGACTTCACGAACCATCTTTTGGTAAAATGAAAGTTTTCCAAATCCATAAGCGTCTATTCGTAATCGGGGTCAAAAAATAATGTTTCGGTTGGTTACTGTGACGTTATGCTAATACTTAAAAAATATATTTTTTGCGCCTCACATCGAACATTATTGCACATTTATTGCTTATCTATTGTCTTCAAATCAGTTTCACGCATTTTAAGAACAATTGGGCTCTCTTATCAAATATTGCTAGTGGAACATCCGTGTGTTTGAATAAAATTTGATATTATTATTATAGTATTTTTCATGAAATTATGAATTATAGAAATATTAAAGATGATATAAAAGAAAATCTAACCAAGATTAACTTATCAACTTAAATTAACTTATACATAATGCGATAGTAAAAATCGACTGTGTCCTCTTCAGAGATTATTAATATACCTACGTTGTGGTATTACGATTTATTGACTTTTGGAACTGAAGAAGAGGAGTAGGAATATCAGGTATTAATGTAGTGAGTAATATTTTTAAGTGCACATTTATCAAATAAATAATTTACCTTATTTTTTATTTAAAATTATTCTGTATATTTTATATAATAGTAGGCTCCAAAGTTGTTATCAGTTAAATCAACTATAGAAACACATAAAATATAAGCAAATAAAAAAAAACAAATAAGAAATAATTCCTACATTATTTCAAGTATCTACAACATACCTGCTTGTATATGAATCAATTATTAGTTTTACATTATTTTTAACACATTTGCAATGTCTACAAGTCTCTATAGTGTATAGGCACATGTTTAGATATTAAAGATTAATTTGTTTTCATATTTTAATAGGGAAATACCAATAAATGTACATTACAAGAATCTACAAGTGTTGGCATTGATAGTTGTAATAAAGTATCAACTGACATGTTTGAAATGGAAAAATTCATAAAAGTGAATGACGAAGAAGAAAAAAGTAAATATCATTGTGGCAATTATCTTTTGAGTACGTATTTTTCTCTCTTTTGTCTAATCTCACCCCCTAAATTTATCCACACGCAAAAGAAAAATAAGGTACAACAAATTTTGGTTCAGGATATTTATGTTAACTCAACTTGAATTTAAAATTTGAATACAATCTCATAATAAGAGTACGGATGTTGTTTCATTTGCAACTTTTTTTCCATCTTTTCAATTTATTGCTAACTAAGTTTCAAATACGTTTCATGTAGTCGACACTCGACAATCGTGTAGATAAGATTATACTAAAACAGGGATGGGCATCCCAAATGTACTAAAGGGCCAGTTTTTGACAATTAAAATCTATGCGAGCTAGAGCATAGCAAAAAGAAAAAAAAAATTATTCAAAGTATATATGTATTTAAATTAGTATTTATTTAGCATAATTTGAATTAACAGTAAATATAAAGAAAGGTTATTGAAAATAATTAAATTAAATAAAATAAAAATAACACTATTACTACTTGTTCAATGTGACATTTGTGACTGCTAATGATAACGCAGCAAAATCGATTACTATTTCAGAAGTGGAAACACAAAGTAGGTGACTTAATGTTTCATCAGTAAGACAATTTTTTTGCTTTGATTTTATATGTTTCATATTTGAAAATGTACATTCACAAATGTAGGTAGTTCCAAATATGGATAACATTTTTAACGCAAACTCTCATAAAAGAGGATATTTGTTAACAGGTAATTTTTTTCAAAAGCTTACATCAATATCTTTCGTGGATAATAATGAGTCAGTTTGCAACTCGCATAATTCTGATTGAAGTGCAGCATCTTGCTTTTCAATTTCAACTGCCATTGGATTATTAAACAAATTTATTTGAGGACGCGTAAGTTCAACTTCTTCAAATCGTCTTTCGAATTCTACAGTTAATTCATGCCAGTGGGTAATGCAATTTTCAAAATTGAACTCGTTAAAATGTTGAGAAATATTAGTTAAAAATGCCAATTAACATAGAAATTGTTTATCAATCATTTAGTTTTCTAAATAAGTGGTTTCAGTTGTACTATTCGTTTAGGAAACTCAAGTATTTCTTTTCTCAAAACAAAATATCGTTCGAGACACTTTCCACTACTAAGTTTCTGTAAATATGTAATAAAATTACGAATTGCACTATCAGTGTCAGTTATACCCGTGGTCTTCAATCAGTGGGTCGCGACCCATTTTTGGGTTTTCTTTTTAAAATAAAATTAAGTTTGAAAATTATTGTAATATATTATGTATAAACAATATTATATAATTTATATTCAAAAATATAATAATATAATGGATTTCAAATCACAGTATTTGTTTTGTAAACTGGTATGTTTTTATTTAGTATGACATTAAAAATAAGAGTTAACCAGGCTAATAATAAAACAAATATATTATATTATTATCGTTAGGATGTTGTCGCTGTGTTTAAAGATGAATAAATGTTAGTCGTGTTATTGTTCTAATCATATTTATGTATCCGTTAAAAAGTTTTTTTTATTTTTATTTATTTATTTATAACAATACTACTACAAAGTATTAAGTAATTTTAGATGTTTTGTTTTTTTGTTTTTCTACAAACATTTTTCTTTATGTATGCCTTTTATAGGTCGCGAATAATGTATGCTTAAAAAAGTGGGTTGCCAATAATGTTCGCCTAAAAAAGTGGGATGTGAGTCCAAAAAGGTTGAAGACCATTGAGCTAAAAGACATGTCACTGTGCATCTTGAAAGTGATATTTTTTTAAATTCACTAGCAATTTTGTTTTAATTTATTGTTTCAGTCATTTTTATTGCACAGTTTTTAACAAATTCGTCATCACTCAACGAGTTTTTAGATTTTGCTATTTCATTAGAAATAATATATGAAGCTATTAAACTGGATTGTTGTGAAGTTGTTGTTGTTGTTGTCATCACATTTTGTTATAATTGAAGTTTTCTTTTCCGATCAATTATAACAC